AAAAAAAAAAAAAAAAATCGAACTAGGGGTGAGGGGTTTTGTTAGAACTGGAAGGACGCCCTTTGAGTGCCCTTCCGATGCCAAAGTGGGAGTGGTGCGCCGCGGGATGGCCGGAGGGGCGCCACCAGAAATCCGGAATCCGAAAACACAGAGCAGCTGAGCAGGGAGGCATGGAGCCATGGAGGGGAAGCTGGATTGGAGAAAAATTGTGTTTGTGTTTGGTTTTATCGTGAATTTTTTTTTTAAAGGCAAATTGGGTCCTCCCCAAAACGGGATCCTGGTTTCGCCACTGAAAATAACAGCATAGAAATTAAGCTAGAAATATAATACGTAATGAGTATCCAAACAAAATAATTCATTCAAGTCTGAAAAAAGGAACAAATTAAAATATCATTTTAAGATAATATAGACAATTATATTATAAAAATCCGTAGCTTTTATTTAATATATCATCGAAAGTTATTGTAATTTTGCAACTCAAGTACGTATTGAAGACTTTAATATAGATTTAGGTAGAGAATTACATAAATTTATATAATATAATTATGTAAGATAATGAGTTGTATCAATTGTCAAAATTAATTAATATGTAGGTTTGAGTTATTCTTTTGGTATCTTTTTGGTGTAGATTATTATTATTATTATTATTATTATTATTATTATTATTATTATTATTATTATTATTATTATTATTATTATTATTATTATTATTATTAATTATTTTTTATTTAGGGTGTACCCAGGTGGAATTGAAGAGGTGTACTCAAGTGAAAGACGCATGTAGACCTCTTCCTCCAAATCACCGTGAAGGAAGGTGTTATTCACATCCATTTGATGTAGGTGCCAATCTCTGGCCAAGGCAATGGTGAGCAGGCAACGGACTGTGGTCATTTTGGCCACGGGAGCAAAAGTCTCATGGAAGTTGAGACCCTCAATTTGGGTAAAGCCCTTTGCTACCAATCGAGCCTTGAAGCGTTTAACGCTTCCATCAGAATGTCGTTTGATCCGGTACACCCATTTGCAACCAATCGGTTTCTTATCATGAGGTAGAGGTTGGATCGTCCAAGTGCCATTGTCTTCAAGAGCACGAATTTCATCTGTCATGGCAGTACGCCAACGAGGGTCCTTGACTGCGACCGAGTAGGACCGTGGTTCTACCTCATAATCCAGTGCAGCTGGGAAGGCCAAGTGAGATGAAGAAAAACTGTTATAATTGACGAAACGCTCAATGGGATAGACCATACCTGAAGAAGTAGATGGAGTGGGCTTGCGGCAAGAGGGGGTCGGCACGACTGAGTAACAATGATAATCGTCCAATCGGGCGGGTGGGCAGCGCGTGCGTTCTGGTCGCCGGGAAGGAGCTCGATTGGTAGCAAAGGGCTTTACCCAAATTGAGGGTCTCGACTTCCATGAGACTTTTGCTCCCGTAGCCAAAATGACCACAGTCCGTTGCCTCCTCACCATTGCCTTGGCCAGAGATTGGCAACTACATCAGATGGATGTGAATAACGCCTTCCTTCACGGTGATTTGGAGGAAGAGGTCTACATGCGTCTTCCACCTGGGTACACCTCTTGGCTTGGTGGACAAGATTTAGGGTAAGAGACCTCACATAAATTAAGGACTCCTTCAAGTCTATTTTCTTTAGTTGTTTATGAATGAAAAAATATAAATTATATCGTGTTTAGATGTTCGTGAGATTGAGTTAGCACGATTCAAGATGTCGCTGCGGAAGGACGACATCGACGAGCGTGAAAGCACCATTGAGTATCCGAGTCGACAAGCCACGAGTTTCGGCCGCCAGAACAATCAATTGGATTGTCGAGTTGATGATTCTTTGACGGGGATCGTAGAAGTGCGTCTTACGATCAACAAACGTCGTATTTGAGCAGAATGATTCTATGTACATTAATTATATTGATTTTGTTAATTTGAATTTCAAATAATTAGCCGTCATTTTTCATATTAATAAAGGTAAAAATAAAATTATTAGACAGAATTTTAGTTATTATTTTAAATAAATACAAACTTATATGTAGAGAGAAAAAAAAAAGTAAATTGCATTAAATAAAAAGATATAACAATTACTGTTAATTTCGGTTGTATGGGTAGAATAATGATAATTTGAATATTTTGGCAAACTTTTGAGCTGTGAATAAAACAAAGACTGATGATACACACTAATAAGCCATTGCGCAACTTGACTTTATTTATTTATTATATAAATGACATTATAATGTGGTAATTTGAATTTTGGGGCAAAAGTTAATAAAACTGATTGAAAAGAGAATTTTTATTCCTTTTAAGTATCACAATAAGTGCCACTTTTTTTTGTATATATATATATACAGAATGTTGCGCCTAAATGAATTTAATTGCAATTGATATGGAACGTTGCAACTGTGACATATATTAAGGAATGATTTTTTTTATATTGAAATTAATAGATAAATATGTTTGCATAATAAATAAAAATTACCCTAAAATAAAATTAAATTATTTTTTAAATTCAAAATTAAAGTTATATTGGAGGGATTTTTGAAAATATTTAATAGAAAATTTCCAAGTTTAGTTATTTTAAAAGTATTCAAGTGAATACAAACTTTTTTTTTTATAAAGATAAAGGTATAGATGTCTTATTGCAATTACTTAAAATATAGTGTATTTGTGAAATTACTTGCAATAAAAAAAAAAATACTTTATCTCATTGATTCATAAAATTTGTGGTGAAATTGAGGGAACAATTTGGGCTGACTCTCATTCTTTTTTCAGTAGATTATTTAGAGCTTGATTGTTTATGAAATAATTTTGTCAAAATAAGTTATTTTGGTTAATCATAGTTAATTTTGAAAAAAAATATATGATTAGTTATTAAAATAATATATAAAATAAAATAATTAAAATTGATTTGATGCAAAAGTAAGAGATAAATGATTAGAAATGATATAACTTTTATTTATTGTTAAATTATTTTGGATCAGGTCAACCAAATCCAAATCATTCCTAAAAAAGAAAAAAAAAAAGCAGCAAACTTTTTTTGAAAAGGGTATATTGGTCAATGTAGGCGCTTTACCATTTTACCAGAATTGATTGAAAGGTGGGGTATAAATCTTGGACACAATCCATTTCTAACTTTCTGTGTAACATTTTAATTATTATTGTCTCTCTGTTTCTCTTCAAGAACACCTACATTTTTTTTTCTTTTTCAAATAAAAAAATACATATATAATATATAAATAAATTTCTGGGTGTTCGGGAAGGAATAAATTGCTCTCAATTTCATCCGGAATTTTTAAGTTCCGGATTGATTTCCCAATTGAGATTTGGAGTTTCAATTTGTTTTGCCCCAATTTTTTTTTTTTTTTTTTTTTTCTTCTGAATCTTGAAGGGGTTTTCTTCGTGTTATATATGATGGTGAAGGCGATGGGGTCGTTGCATTCTGAAGATTTTATCGAAGAACAATATGGGTCTCTAGTAAAGCGCTCTCGATTTAATCAGGTTTGTTTAATTTGGTTGTTTTATAGAAAAAAAAAAAAAAAAAGTTTCTTTTTTTTTTGTGTGTGTTTCTTGAGTTTCAGTGCTTTTAATCTGTTCATCATTGGGTTTCGTTGTAAATATTCTGTTGATGTACTCATGCGTGTATGTATATGTAATGTGCTTTTATGGGGTAGCTGAAAAATTCACTGCAAACGGATTGATATATGTTTTTAGTTACAGTGGAGCTCCATGTCAGGGTTTGAGAAATTCCTTTTCGCGCGTTTTGGAGGAATTAATTGTTGAGAATATGTGAACTTAGCCTCTGGGTTTTCTGTTGTACAACCCTATAACCTAGTTGTTCGTTTTTCGGTTTACGGTCAATATCATGTGTAATGTTATAGAAGTTCGGTTTTCAGCAGTTGAGCTCTGATAGCCATGCTGTTTCGGTCCCGCCCTCGCAGTATAATCCACTCGATGAGCCAAGTCCTCTGGGTTTGAGGCTCAGAAAAAGTCCATCATTATTGGATTTGATCCAGATGAGACTCTCTCAGGGGGGTAATGTTGGTATTTCGGTGGCCCCGAGTGAAACTACGGATTCTGAAAGCAAGAAAGATGTAAAGGGATTTTCTGCTCCTTCAAGTGCTGCTAATGACAAGTTGAAGGCTTCGAATTTTCCGGCTTTGCTGTTGAGAATCGGCAGCTGGGAGGTACTTTTTTTCTGAACTCTTAACTTTACATGCTCTTATGAATCATCATGCTGCTGATCCTAAATGCTTCTGACGGGTTGTTTTTAAAATTCGGTCAAAATGAATAATATCCATGTTCATGTAGCAGTAGAAAGTTAATGAGGTGTTTGATTAGTCCTGGTCACAAATAAGCTTAATTGGTTTATCAGTTAGTTTAAAATTGTAATTGATATTCTGATGCGTTAAATGCCTTCCTTGTTGGTGATATTTTGGTTTTTTGGCAGTATGTATCGACATACGAAGGTGATCTGGTGGCCAAGTGTTATTTTGCTAAGCATAAACTTGTATGGGAAGTTCTTGAACGTGGTCTCAAGAGCAAAATAGAAATCCAGTGGTCTGATATAATGGCCCTGAAAGCCGAGTGTCCTGATAATAGTCCTGGCACTTTAACCATCATGGTATATTTTACTACCTTTTTCCTTTCCCTTTTCAGTTATTAATTAATAGTGGACCATAGTACACATTTTAATTTAATGGTTTTTTCTTATCATCGTTTGTTTTTATTCTTGTGTGCTCCAGCTAGCTCGTCGACCTACGTTTTTCCGTGAGACCAATCCACAACCCAGAAAGCACACTCTGTGGCAAGCAACCACTGACTTTACTGATGGACAGGCTAGCTTAAATAAGTAAGCTTTTAAGTTATCCTTATTTTTTCTCATTTTTGTTGCAATATTCAAAGTCCACTCGTATTTTTTGTCACTGTAATAATGGTCAGTCTCATGATTTTAGAACCAACATACCAATTTCTTCTGAAATGTGAGAAGAAAAATCATTATTTGCCTGTTTTGCGAGCTTTATGTTAAAATTTTAAATGCTCTTATAGAGTAAACTCGGCACAGATGAGATTCTAGTTGACATTAGTTCCAGTGATACTTTTGTTTTGAGATGCGATTGTAAGGAATCTGCCATATTTCGATCTTAAACTGGTATTTTATGATATTTGAGCAGGGTACACTCTTTACAATGCCCTCCGGGAGCGTTGAACAAGCATTACGAGAAGCTTATCCAGTGTGATACTCGTCTTAGTACCTTGACCAGACAAACCGAAATAGATATGGCCTCGTCATACTTTGACCCTGAAGGAGTTTCCATTGAAGAACATTCTTCGGAAGAATGCAAAGGTGCTGCTAAAGAATCTCCTGTCCCTGCTTTCGAGGATGCTGCTTCAGCAGCTGCTGCTCAGTTGTCTGCCTTCAAATTCGAGCACGAACATTTTCTCCCGAAAAAACTGCCTAAAGTTGCATCACCTAGCTCAGGTACAACATGATCGTCTTAACATATTTAATGTGTTAATTTGTTAACCATATTTCAAATATGAGAAATTTGTTCTCAGATCCTTAGTGCATGCTTGGATACAATTTTTTCCAATCACTTTTTTTTTTTTTTTTTTTTTTTCAAACTCAAATCTAAATCAACTTTAAATCAACCCAACTATCCTCAATATTATCAAATAATTAAATAATATTAACCAATTATTCTTATACATCAATTTTAATTCACTTTTATTCCACTCACATAATTCAAAATAACCATTACTTCACATCATCTCTTCTACTTTTACGTCAAATCAACTTATTTATTTTATTTTAGATATTATCTTAATATAAACTCAAAATCCCACTAACAACTAACCAATTAACCATACCAACCTTTTCAAAATTAACTATGGTCAACAAAAAAAAAAACTCATTTTGAACGGATATATTTGTATACAAGGGCGCTTATCTACTAAACCAACTTTTTCCGCATATATGGCTCGTCGATTTTAGGTTGCCAAAAGTTTTATTTCCTTCTCTGACTAATCCTACATATTATTTAGTAGTAATGGATGCACAAGTGGTTAACGAGCGTGATTATGAAGGGCGCAAAAATTCAGAATCACTTAAAGTGCCCGGGCTACGGCCATCGATATCAATGAGCGACTTCATGAACCAACTCGAAAATCACATTACCGAGCAGATGACTTCTAGAAACTTGCCTTCGGCTAAAGCCTCGGAATGCCAAGCAATGCTCGATAACATTGCTCAAGATCTTCTGAACGATACTCAGTGCTTGACGGGACTTGACGAGCGATCACTCATGAAGAAGGTAAACTCGCTCTGCAACCTGCTTCAAGTTCAAGACCCTGCACGTGAAGCTGAAGTGCTCTGTGGGCCCGGCTCGGTAGAAAATGACTGTTTTGCCCTCGTGAGTGATTCTACGGATGACACTGTGGAGACTACTTCCGAAGGGTCGGTCGAGGCGAGTCATGCAATGCCAAGAAGGGACTCGTTGGGGGATTTGCTCGTGCATCTGCCCCAGATTGCTTCCCTTCCAAAATTTCCAAACTTGTTGTTCGGGATAGATGAAGATGATGAGTACGACTGGCCGAACTAGTGGTTTTTTGTCGAGATATGTGAGTGTGTGTGTGTTTGTGGTGTTTTTGATTGGTTGGTAAGATGCAGTTTGGGAAGCTTGACAGGATTCTGAAATTGAGGTTTGTGAAGAATCCTGCTAGTTGTTACTTCATTAGAGCTAGGAAAAGGATTGTAAACTCCTTTGGTCATTTTCCAGATTTTTTTAATGAAAAAATAAATGGCTTCTTTATGATTCTTGCTTGGGTTTGTAGTTTATAATATATGTCATGGTCATGTTACTTTGCACACATCAAATCACAATTAAAATAGACCACTAAACATTGACCTCAGTTTTTTCATATAATCGTTATTCAACTTTTGTGTTTCATTTTTTATTTTAAAATTTTCATATAATCATTATTCAACTCTCAAAATCAACCACTAAACATTCACCTCAATTTTGTGTGTATCTAATTGGTAAGTGAGAAAAATACTAAAATGACTAGAAAAGTAAACACTAGCATTTTCATTTTTTGTGCTTTAAACTGGTTCGGTTTTTCCGGTATAAAACTGAAATCACCCGAGTTTTAGGTTACTAAAAATTTGGTAATCGACTTTAATAGGTTCGGTATCGGTTTTGCATTTCGAGGTTACCAACATTATCGGTTGGGTAACTAATGCCACCCTACTTTATACAGATCATAGCATTGATATTTACTGTTTTAATCATGATGATGCAATAATGCATAAATAGAAAAATGCTACATGTACATAATAACATATGTCAAGGTCATGTTACTTTGTCCATAGATGTAGCCAATTGTCGGGCCGGGGCCCGGCACATTGTTCGACCCAAGGCCCAAACCGGCCCGGCCCAAACCGGCGGGACAAAAAAAAAATTGAACCGCGACCCTAAGGGTCCGGTTCAATGAACCAGCCCTTGTGAGGCCGGTTCAGGGCCTGTTCGGCCCGTGGACATGTCTATTTGTCCATGTCAAATCACTTTTAAAATCAACCACTAACATTCACTTCATTCTCTTTTTCATATAATCATTATTCACTTTTAAAGTCAACCACTAAACATTCACCTCACTTTTTTCATATAATTATTATTCAACTTTTGTGTTTCATTTTGTATTTTAAAATTGAGAAATTTTTATATTAGGACTTGACTTTTTGTTATTGTGTCACAATAAGATCTGAATTTTTAACTGAGAGTTTCAATTTTAAGTTATTATCAATATAAAACCTATTTTTACATTCTACTTTCAATTTAAGACTCCAAATCACTTTTGATTTTGATACAACTATGAAAACCACAATACTTTAAAAAAATTATAAATATTTTATAAAATTACTTTAATAAGAAAAATAATTCATTTAAGCTAAATTTATTTTTCATAAATGTAACTAATTGGATTAATTTTTCTAAGAAGCTAGCTTTAGAAATATACTTAATACTTTTATTATAGGCATTAATTATATATATTCTTAATCTTTTCAAAAAAATAATACAAATTTTATTAACAAATAATATTTTATATAAGTTTATTTAAAAAAAATATTTTTTTAAATAGTTTATATTTTAACACATATTTTGATTAAAATTAAGTTAAAATTTTAATACTCTCAAAGGAAAAAGTTGAAAATTCAGGTCTTAACGTAACACAATAACAAAAAATAAAACCTCATGTAATGGAATTTTCCCTTTAAAGCATATAATCATTATCCAAATTTTAAAATCAACCACTAAACATTCACCCCACTTCTTTCATATAATCATTATTCAACTTTTGTGTTTGAAATTGTATTTTAATTTTTTCATATAATCATTATTCAACTTTTAAAATCAACCACTAATTAACATTCACCTCAACCTTTTCATATAATCATTATTCAACTTTTGTGTTTCATTTTGTATTTTTATTTTATTGGTAAGTGACATGTGTATAGAGGCTTAAGCCAAATGTCACTCATCAACATGGGATTACATATTCAATGATAATGTATGTATATTGAATGAATACACTGGAATTTGAATCAAAGTGCTATTTTTTCACACTCATCTTTATGTGCTATTTTTTTTTTAACACATCTTATGTGGATTTGAGACAGTATGTAAATAAGTTAGAAAATATAATCAAAGCCCCTTCTTAAGCTTATTAATTTAAATGATTTAAAAAATAAAAAATAAAAGATCCAATAATCAAACAGTCACTATATATATACAAAGAGATGGTTTGAACTAATCTGCAGCTGTACACAAAGCAAATGATGAAATCATCAAACTCTCATCATAACAGTATTTTCCATCTTCTGTTCCCCCCTTTTTTCTTCCATCACATCTTATAACCAAGATCAGGAAAGAGGCGAATGAATCGTCGTGTCAGGTAACATGGCTATGGTAACTAAGAGATATTCACACCCGACCGTAAGCCCGTACGGATTTTCTAACTGTGTTATCTCTGAAGTCAAGGTCAACTGTTTGGTCCCCACCTCGGACATCAGAATGTCAACTCTGTCCTTGGTGTCGCCAGCACGTTCGGAAGTTGATGAGGGCGCTGATTTGGCGGTCCTCCGCTCAATATGCACAATTTGGCCGATTATGTAGTTGGGCCGGCTGGTGAGGTTGTCAGTGAATAAGGCCAAAGACTCGGACGAAAGAAAATAGTAAGAGTTGTTACGGTTGATCGCCTCATAGAAGCCAGTGGAGTTTAGAATGAATGCGGCTATTTCATGCACTTCTAGCCGACCAAAAGATATCTTCTCTTTGTTCCCCTGTAAAAATAACCGTTGCTTGCTTTTAATCATATGTGTTAGGTTAAAGGCAACATTGCATTTTTAGTCCTGCCGGTTTAACGCCGTAACAATTTTATTCCCCAAGGTTCCAAGAGTCCTGTGATTTAAATTTTTTTTTTTTTTTTTTGCTGCAATTACAGTCCTTTGAGGACCGAAATTGCAACAAATTCCCAATCCAGTAATTTGAAATTTTATTTCAATTTCAGTCTTATTCCAGTACTGTGATTTAATATTTTTGTTGTTGAAGCAAAATATTAAATCGTATTAAGGTGAGATGCGTAAATTGTAATTTTAAGGTGAGTCGATTATTTCGTGAACATTGGAGTATCTTTCGACTTTCATAAATGTTAAGGTTAAATGAAATGCAACTATGAAAAAAACCCAGAACAGTTGAAAAAAGAAAAACAAATAATATTAACAAATAAGACTAAAGAGGACTTTTGCAAACATACCTGCTTTTTTTCCAGTTGATGCCTGAAGGAAAGAGTATTGACTAACTCACTCTTTTCAGCTAGCTCCTTACTAAGCTGTTCATTTGCAGCCTCGGTTTTGGAGTGCCTGTCGAGCAACTCAGCACGCTGTCTAGACAAAACACCAACTTTATCAGCAAGCATAAGAAGACACTCACGGAACTCGGTTGTACCGTCATCTTCACTTCCATCGGCAACACTGAAAAAGGGAATCGGAAAATCAACTTACATTAGCAAAAACATAAAGGACTTGCAGCAGCAAAATTTCAAGTTCAAAGGGACTTGCACAGAATTTGATGTCAGATCAATATTTGTCACTTGGACCCTAAACCGAACCATAAAGGTAGCCGAATTTTTTTAAGTAAATTGGTAGTAAGATAAAAAGAAACCGATATTAGATGTAAAATAATTGCATGTACAAGCGCACCTGCCTATAGATTGAGCTAAATCCTGCAAATACTCGGAAAAATTTGCCAACCCAGCTAACAAAACACAATTTTTCAGCCTTTCAAAATGCCCATGCATTTTGACAGCAGCGATCCGCAATGTGCTGTACTCCGAAGCCTTACGATCAGCAGCACATAGATTGGTTTGGGCTTCTTTTCTCGCTTGATGTAGAGAGTTCTCCAAATGAGCACAATTCATCTGCAAATTATTAAATAGGAACAATTCTTAACTCACTGCTGCCTAAATTTTTAATCAAACGTGATTTTGTTCCTGGAAATTATTAGTGTGTTCGAAAATCAAGTCATGGAGGGAGAGAATATTTTTACACCAATATAAAAATGATTTTGCCATAGGAAAGACATGGTCGTGGATATTAATCAAACATACACGTTCGTTCATGTCTTCTTCATTGTTAGGAAATGATTGAATTTTTTATTTTTTATTTTATTTTTTACGCTACTCACAACATACTATAGACAATGATCGTATCACATAAATGATTTCTTCTAAAATAATTAAATCTTTCAACTTTAGATAGCATATAGGAGACTTTCCAACACTAGTGATCTCATACAAGTAATAATTTTTAACAATCCAACTTTTGGTTTATACAAACCCGACTAAATGCCATTCATCAATGGCTGATGGCTCTAGAGGATAGCTTTTCTCCATTTCGGGTGTAAAAAGTTTATTGTCCATGAGAAATACCTGAGATTCATCAAGAAGCTTCCGACTCATCTCCAGTTCCTTGCCAAGCTTCGAAACCTCATCCGCTAAACCTTGGATCTTCAGTTCCGCGATGTCTAATTGACTCGATTTCCTATCCAAGTCTTTTTGCAATTCAATCACAAAGGCATCATTTAACTTATCATCCAAACCCGATTCAAGAGTTGTTCCGTATGACAGAGCATCAGCTGGCTGTGACATGCTAACAGCCATATTACTTGTAGCCAGTACAGTGTCTTCATCATCCACTAACCTCCCTTTCTTATCTTGGTCAAAAGTCTGTCCTTTATCAAGCTGTAAATCCACCATTGATGAATCCAACTGAGGATTCATCGGCATTGTAGATGAATCTGCCAAATTATCATCAAATCCTTCATGCAGTTGAAACTCCAGAACATTCTGATGCATCCTCGTCATTTTTAAGCTTATTAATCCCATACCGATTGGATAATCTCTTTTCTAATTCACAAATCCGCTTCTCGTAAGACTCACACTGCATCTGTTTGGCTTTCAGAATAGACTGTAGGTGTTTTTCGTACTCGTTTTTCAAATGCAAGGCCTCGGATGTCTTATCAGCCGCAACCTTTACAGTGTTATCCAACTTACTCTCGTCGAGGGATTCGTAATCCAGCTCGGCACTCATGGAGCACAACAAGGCAATTTTAGACGCAAGCTCTGCCTTGAGTTTCGCATTCTCGAGCGACAACCCGAAATCGCACTCGCCGTGAAAACCAGCCTCAGTAGCTTCAATTTCACCCGAATCGGAAGCCCTGGAAGAATAAGATCCACTCCTCAAGGAAACTCCTAACAAAACCGACTCAGGAGCAAAACGGTCAATGTCCGAGAGATCTATGTCGAGCAGACTAGTGTCGAAGGGGGTCACATTGATATTGCATGGGTTCGGAGTGTCATATAACCCCATTGAAGCCAAAATGTCCCGAGGAATGTAAGTGCTGTGAACTTTCAGAAACTCCTCACGCCTCGTGATTTCAAGTTCCCTCTCGGTTGCGAGCTTCTCGGCCAGTTGCCCGGCTTTTCCCATGTAGATTTTCATCTCAGATTTTCTCCTCATGACCTCGGCAAGGCACGCCCGGTATGCAGTCCCGATCCCACGGACCACTTTTAAGTGGTGAAATTGCTCGTTCTGGCGCTTTAGGGCCTCCTGGAAAACGGAGAACTCGTACCGTACGCTTTTAATGGTGTACTGTATGTATGATATCTTCTGCATGTAGTTGTGCACGAAGATGTTCATATTGTTCTTTTTATCCCGGAAGAAATCGAGCAGACTGGAGATCGCACGATTGCATCTTCGGAAGGTAATTTTTCTCATGGCTGTCGTAAATGGGACCCAATGCAGAAACGACATCGTGAAGACGCAAGGAAGATGACAGATCGTGCTCACCCGAGAGACAATCGTCCATGAGTTTCTTTACAATGTTCGCATCTTTGCTGCACAAAAATGAACATAACAGTGTCACTTAAAAAATTCCGTCAATTTCGCGCATGTTGAGATAAAGATTTCATGTTTCCAACAAGTTACAAATCACTAGCCAAATTAAGGCACCAAACGGGCTACACACTACCCAGACCGTGAAAAGGATTATTACCCAGGAAGAGTGTGAATCTTGTCAAGAAGCAAAACTACTCATGATACCAAAACATCTAAGCAAAGCAAAAAATTATAGATGAAGGCATACTTGGGATAAATCACCCTTCCCGATTCATCATAAATCTATAGTTTCACTTTCCCACTAGAAATGGACATGCGGTTTGTTGAAACAATCTATGAACCATAACGTTTGGTAGAGTGCCCAGTCAGCTATAAATGGGAAAAGTGGGAAAACAAAAAGACTGTAACACCTTTGCAGCAATACAATTGTTGTCTTCACGAGGACATGTAAGTTAAGAACAAATGGGAATGCTTTAGAAACATTTACTAACAACCAGCACTAACTAGATAGACGACAATCCCCACAATTCACAACAAAGTACAAACAAACCAGTTCTATATCAAACCATACGAGTAGCAGAAAATTGGTTCGTGATATGACACACATTCCAAACATTTATGAATGTGTTTGTTGATTGAAGAGAAAAAAAAACAAAAAACAAAAAAAAAAACGAAAGTTTCACCTTAAAGCTTGCATTATACTCTTCTGCTCAATAACAATGTGTTGATGCTCCTTCAGTGCCATATCCAATTCCTTGACAAGATACGAGCCCTGGCTCGCCGTAAACAAATTCTCCGCATTCCGCTTCAAATCTCCAAACTCCTGCTTAAATTCCGAAACTTTATTCTCAAACTGCCTATGCGAGCTCCCACAGTCCTCCACAACCTTCCTTAGATTCTCCTCCTTCACGAAATCGAGCAGGCACTTCCTGTTACCCGTTTGCAAAGAGGGATGAAGCTTCACAGACCTCAGCCTTTCCATATCCCTCCCGAAATTAACCAGCAGGCTCGTGTGCCCACGATGCTGCTGGGAGTAACACCTCATGAAGTCTGCATAAGTCTGAAGCACAATCTTGTAAACAAACTCCAAATTACCCCTCGCAATCTCTAGTGCCCGTTCTTGAACCCTCTGCTCCCGAAGCAGCCCTTCGCACACCTCGAGTTTAGCATGGGTTCGGCTGTAAATTGCGTGCCCCCACTGGAAATGGTACCTAAACTGCCTCTCGTATGAGGGCAGGGCCTTTAAGGCGGGGTCCGGGGAATCATCTAACGGGTGGGGATTGTTTGAAGGGGATGGCTCGGGTGGAGGAGGTGATGCACTACTGCGCATTCTCGATTTATTGAATAGGAACACTTCCCGGCCTTCAGCAGGGAGTTTGTAGGCTGACAACTGGCGGTGAGGCTCAAGTTTCGTGTCCACGCACAAGAGGAGCTGGTCGTTGAAGGGTATTCGGCAGAGTGATTCCAAGTACTTCTGCACGGACTCGACAGGAGTGCATTGGTCACAGTCCAGCTCGTACGAGTGGCCGTCCTCAGCCATGTGTACCGCGAGCTTTCCCATTTGGACCACGCTTTCGGAAGCACTAGAAGTCCTTTTTTATGCTTTTTTACGGCGAGTCGACCGATAAATCGATGAATTTTCGGCAAGATGGCCTAAAGATTGGAACTTTCTGCAGATGCAAAAGTGGGATCAGCTCGATTCTCCTTCTTCAAAGATGGATTCAATCAAACATTCAGTTTTTTTACTTGGGCAGAAAAATCTCCTGGCCATTTGTGCTTCTTCACCAATTGGACTTCTCATTAATTTGTTTATAAATTTTAAATTTTTCAACACCAATTTATTCTCCAGAAATCCCAAGCCCGCCGCAGAGATCCGCAAATTCGGCCCGAACCCGGATAAACATAATCAACTTACGAATTTTCGATTGCCATGGATTAGCAGCAGAACCCGCAAGTTCAAAGAAGGAACAGAAGAGACTGAAATCTGAAGAAAAAGGGAGTTTTGCAATTTTTGTTTTTTTTTTTTTAAATTATGTTATGAATTATATTATTAATTAGTAGATTTTATTTTTATTTTATTTTTGTATGAGAGGTATTAAATATAGGATTGTACGATGTATGTACAGTGTATGTGACTCTTTGGCTCTGTGCTATCTGTATGAAAAATATAATTATAAAAACATTTAAAATAAAATTGAAGTTGTTAATATAAAAAAAAGTGTAATGATTAAGGTTGATATGATATAAAAATAATAAAATACTAATTAATAAGATTAGTGGTCATATATATTGAGTGAATTAATAATATTTTTTGTTAGAAAAATATACAATAATGTTTATTTTTTGAATTGTGTTAATAGTACTTATGGAGGAAAAAATTGAGATGAGAAGAATAATATTGTTGTAAATAAAATTGTTTTATTTTGAGTAAATGAATGGATTTTCCGAATCATCCCATTAAATTATATTTTTAATAGACATACATAACTTTAAAACCAAATATCATAATTTTAAAAATAAGATAAACAAAAATAAATTATTTTTGCAATATTAATATATTTTTCATTTAATTAGTATGACAAATATCATAATTTTAAAAATAAGATAAACAAAAGTAAATTATTTTTGCAATATTAATATATTTTTTTCATTTAATAAGTATGACAAATTGTCTAATAACTTTTAATCACTTGTAATCTATCTTTTTTCTTTTATTTATAATTTGGCAT